AAAATCCCTACTTATCAGTGCTAAAGCCTTAATCCCGGTTGAAGTGGGCGAACCCACCTTGAGATATTCTCAAACAAATGAAGAATCGAATAACGAAGCAATGCTAATCAACTTGGAATTGCTCGAGGGACGCAGGGACTTGGCGCATGTAAGAATGGCAACTCAAAAGTAGAGGATGGAGCGATATTACAATCGAAGAGCCAATTTTCATTTTTTCAAAGTAGGAGACTTGGTTCTAAGGAAAGTAACACAAAATACCCGGGAGCTCAACGCGGGAAAGCTAGGTCCAACATAGGAAGGTCCCTACCGAATTTCAGCTGTCATTGGGAAAGGTTCATACGAGTTGGAGAACCAGAATGGAGACAAGTTGCCCAACAACTGGAACGTGGCACATCTCAAAAGATATTATTGCTGATGAACAACACTCAAACAAAAGTATGTGCTGCAGCACTCTTTTTCCCTTCGTTCAGTTTTCTAGCAAGGTTTTTAATGAGGCAGCAACAGAAAACATACTATGAAGACATCAACAATAAGGCCTTTGATAGCAAGGCAAACGAATAAGCTTCCACTCGGGGACGATTAGGTTATCTTTGGTTCGATAGCAAATTCCCACCGGGAAGTTAAGTTTGTTACCGAACAGAGGTTACCCGACCATTCACGAGCACAAACCACCAGAGGAATGTTAGGTATTCTTTCGCTCGATAGAATAGATTCTTAAGGGGAAACAAGATGTGTTTCCAAGTGAAGGATTACCTAGTAATTCACTGGTGGGACCTTCGAAGATACAAGACTTCGAGTGTTCCAATTCGCATGCTTCACATTTAAACACTGGGGGGAATGATATGAGGATACGACAACAATGACTGCCACGTCAACCGGGAATAAAAATTCGGAAACAAAATACATTATCGGGACCGGAGATTGCGCAGCCAGCCCCGTAGAAACAAGTTGTACAAGATACCACAAGTAATGGCAATTTCTTTTCTGCATAGCAAAATGCTTATGTAATTTCTGAAAATAGAAAGAATAAAATGAAATCCTTTTGCTTTAATCTTGTTTCTTGTCTGAACGATGAGCTGATTTTGTCATTTGAAAGTTAAACAAGTACTTCAAATGTTAGTGCCGTAATGAATAAGAGACGTCCTCTTCAAGAGCACCGTAAACATAAGAGGGCCCTCTCTTATAAAAACCTTCATGTCAAAAGGTTGGTCCCAGAAGAATCAATGTTCGGAATCCAAAATGCCATCGAGGAAAAATACACCTGAAGCTGCATATGAAAAGGATGCAAAAATGCACAAATATTCATCGAAACCCTCATGTAAAAGGGAAAACTTGCTCAAATATTCATAAAAACCCTCACATAAAAGGGATAATACTTGGAACCAAAATGATTCGAAGAAAAGGCATCCGAGACTACACATAGTAAAACGCGAATTGAATAACATGCGCAGAATGCTCGAGCAAATGCAAAAGTTAAAGGCGTGCATGGATATTCAAATGAAAGTAAGACTCAAACGACACTTGAACAAAAAAATGTGTCTTTATTTATAAGAACGGGCCAAACCATTACAAGTACAAAATGAGAAAAGAAAGGAAAAGCTAAACTGCAGCGCCTCCGGGACCAGAAGGAAGAGAAGTATTCGCATTGCCGGAAAGAGTAGTTGGTTCCGCCGATGGCTCAATGCTTTCCCCAGTTTGGCCTTCGGCCTCGTCGCCTTCCGATCCTTCTTCAGTTTTCGAAAATTCGGAACCAGAATTAGAAGAACCTGGAGCATCAGACTGCGCCGGGAGTCTATTTTTTGCAGCTAACTCAAGCTTTCGGACCTTAGCAATTTCGGAATCAACATCAATGATACCGGCTTTGGCCTCTTCCAAGGTTTTTCTCCTCATGCTATACATGGAATAACTTTTTTCAATAATGAGGGAAGCCGCTCGGCTCTTAAGTTCTTCTTTGAGTTGGCTAACCTCGGGGGAAAGATTTTCCCGTGCGTATCTAGCAGATTGGAGGCTGACATCGAGCTAACGGACAGTTGAACTAAAGATCCTATTATGCTTAATAGTTTTCCTATACTTCTCTTCCAGCTGGCATGTTTCACCTCCACGGCAGCAAGCTCTTCGCTTTTGGAGTTCAAGGCTGCTTCCAAGTTAATCACTCTTTCAACAAAGGCAGCCTCACAGTCAGTTGCAGTAAGAACGACATTCTACACTTCTGCCCATTTTGACCTGACCTCATCAAATCTAACCCTCATCGGCCCGATTTCTTGGCTAAGGGTTGCCACTTCTTGCTCGCTTTGCTGCAAATGAGCCTCCAAAACAACAACCTCATCAGCTCTGGTTTCCAGTTCCGAGAGGCGAAGAACAATCTAGTATCGTTCTGCCCAAAGAAAATCCCATTCAGAAGTAAGTTCTTCCTTCTCACGAATCAACTTTTGAAGGCCCTCGGAAGCAAGAAAGTTGGCTTATAAAATTAGAAGAGGTAAAATTTAGAATACATTCGTTCAAAGTAGAAGAAATAATAGAGGAAGGAAGGAACGTACCGTTGTGGCAGTATGCATAACATTGTTCAACAAACACTCTCTCTCGAGAGTGTTTGAATCTTTTCCCAGTCTTTTTCTGAAGCCAAAGGCTTCAGGTAATTAGCAAGCTCCACCGACCGTGATAGCAGGTTGCACCCGGTAGAGACCGAAAGAGTGATGTTCCTCATCCTTTGTGGATCTTCAGAAGGAGCAACATAATTTTTCCCCAAAATCCCATGAACTGGGGACTGTGGAAGAGGAACACCTTCTTCATGGTCATATGCTACCGATGGAGATGGTGTAGCAACCGCTGGTGGAAGAGTAGACGGAGATGGAAATAATGTAGCAGTTGCTGGTGTTAGTGAAGGTGGAGATGAAGCTGATGGAGTTGAAGAGTGAGAAGCAGCTACATCCAATGCAGTGCTGGTTGTTTGATACTCGCCAACCAAAGATGGCAGGGACCCGGTACTCAGCCTCTCAACACCGGTTACAACAATTGGGGCCCGGAAGCGGGAGTTGGTATATTCTACTAAATTAGATTCTCCCCAAACTACTGAGACTTCGTCTTCAGTTGGTGCAACCATCTCAACAGGTTGAGCCTGTTGAGATAATGAGGATCTTCGTCCTCTGTGTAAAGAAGCTCCCTCATCAATGACTTCTTATTCATCATCAATCATCACGGTGTCTACGACTAACCCAGAAGGAGGACCAGTCATCATCGCCACCGAAGACAATTTGGGGGCATCTGTCTTTGCCCTTTTATTTTTTTTCCCGGCCGCGGAGGAACGTCTTCTATTTGTTTGTTTATCCTCTGGCCGAGGACTCCGTAAAGAAATATTTGTACCCGAAACAGGCCCGGAGATACCTGTTTGAGTAAGTGCTTCCTGAAGCAGCCTCGCTGCATCAGCAGGATCAGCCAAAATGTCCTCCTCGGGGACAACAACAAAGCCCGTAGGTAGACCTAATTCCATGAACAAAGTGAGAAGGGTTCAACCAAGTTCTTCATATACAAAAATGAAAGCAAGGTAAATTTGAGTTACCATGATTTTTGGCCTTCTACCCGTACTTAAGGGCCAGTTCTTTCCACGAATGAGTTTCGGGCGTTGTGACGTCCAAAATCTTCTGAACCCACCATTGGGAGCCATCGAGTTGTTGAAATATGCGGAGGGTGAAGAGATGATACAACCATAGAAGAATATCTCGTAGGAGGAATATTATACAAAGAACTTACGAGTGCGGTTCCAAGCAACCGGAAAGGATGAAGCTGTTGTCGGAATGATGTCGTTGGTGGCAACTGCAACGAACCGTTCCATCCATCCATGGTCGTTGTCATCATCCATGCTAGACAACAAAGCATGGTGGCCACACTTTCAAAGGTTTATTATTCTCCCGCGGAAGATTTTACGGGAATAGAGATTCATCACATGAGCTAAGGTTAGCTCCTCTCCAGTTTCTTGGCACAAACGTCGGAGGCAGGCGATCGTCCTCCACACTGAAGGACTTACCTGTGCCAGACTTACCTGGTAGTGAAGGCAAAACTCCGCAATCACGGAATCAGGCTCTCCGCTCAAAGAAAACGCACCCAAAGTAATGGGATACGTGAAAAAGTATGTAAAACCTTCCTTTGAAAGGGTTACTCGCTTCGATAGATCAGGAGCAATAATTTTCAACTCATTGCAGCTGCAGTCCTCCTTCACAGCAGGAATACTGGAAGGACGAATGGAAGAAGGGTACCTACTAACAACCCATGTACGAGGGTTAGCAGTAGGAAATTTCTTTTCAAAATCCTTCGAAGTACTAAGCCTTTTTGGGATGATGGAATCTACTATTGGAGGAACGAAATCCTTGGTTTTGTTCTTATTCTTTATAGAACCACCACGTTTGGAGGAAGAAGCCATTGGAAAAGAAGAAGGTAAAGAGTTTATGTTTGGAGAAAATTAGAAAACGGATGGAAAACAAGGATGCAAATCAGAAGCTCAAGCAATTTGTAAAACGCTAAGGAAAAGAAAGTTGCGTTTAAGTAAAATTTTGGCGGCTAAATTCATGGCCATGATTACCTCGATAATCGGCAAAAGTTGTATTGAATCATGGGATGACGCGTGTTCGGGGCATTAAATGCAGAGAGACATGCGTCTAATCAACTATCAGAGACCTTAAGAGGGAACTATAGTAATTTCCGCCAAAAAGGTGTCTCTACCGCCTTTTCGATAACACAAAGTTATGTTACCGGAAAACAGAGAGACTATATGTATAGGGTAAAATATAATATGATACGTGACTGACTAAAATGTGGACACGTAAAATTCAAGATGGAATGGTTGAGGACCGAACACAGCCACTGTGCTTGTCACCGGAACGGATAACGTTCATAAAAACTTTTTTCGGTATCAACAATGTGCAGACAAGCCCAACTTCTTTACTGGGAACTAGTTGGGTTGGCCCATCTGACTTTACTGAACAAGTCCAATGTTAACATTTTAGTCCATGGACATTGTCACTCAAGATTTTGCTGCGCTGTGCACGTCAAAACCTTCAAAAACTCCGTTAGCTTTGCCGGGAAAATCATCCCCGACGACATCTCCGGCGAATTTCCGGATGTGTGCCACTTTGCGCCGTATGCGCATCAATTACAAGGTGGGTCATTTTCCCCTGTTTCCAACATCCTTGTACACTTCACAACTGCTAGTTTTACACTTCCTCACTCCACCACACAAAGTCCTAAACCCTAAAGTTACCAGCTTTTCTACTGAAAGCTCATATTGCAGTTCAAATTTATTAGATTCTGAAAAAGGATTTGATTTTCTTGAACAGTTTTCCCCTTTTAAGAATTTGTCAAACTCTTCTACTTACACTGTCATTACCTCAAATGAGAGGCGTAAAATTGTTGTGGGGTTATCAAGAATGATAAAAAATGAAAAAGGTTACATTTTGGAAGCATTTTCAAGAGATTTTTGCCCATCTTTTTTGGTAAAAATTATGAAGTTGATTGGTAATAGGGAAGTTGCATTTGCATTCTTTAAGTTTGTTTTTCAAGATTATTCGGAGAGTACAGTGAAGTCATGTTGTATTAGTGCGCATTTATTGGCTGCTGGACAGTTGAGGCTATTGGCACAGGATATAATATCTTGGATCATTAGGAGGATTGGAAAATGTAGGAGTGATGAGATTGTGGAGTTCATGTGGAGGGAGCATTGTAAGTATGAGTGTGACTTTTCAGTTCTTGATTCATTAATGCGGGCTTTTTTAACCGCAGAAATGGTTTCGGCTGCATTAGAGATTTCGAGTAAGATGAGAGACAGTGGGTTGAGGCCGAGTTCATCAGCTGTCGGCATCCTATTTAAGTTGTTGCTTAGGATTGGTGATTATGGTAATGTCTGGAAGTTATTTCGGGATATGTTGCATAAAGGGCCTCGTCCTACTAACAATCTCTTTAATGTAATGATTCTTGGATATTGTAGAAAAGGCAGTCTTCGAACGGGAGAGAGTTTATGTCATCTCATGAGGAAGTTTGGATGTGAGCCAGATGTTTTTACATATAATATTTTGATCAATGCATACTGTATTAGAGGATGGACTTCAGATGCATTGCACTGGGTGCATATGATGATTGATCATGGATGTAATCCAAGTATCTCTACCTTTAGTACGGTAATTAATGCCTTATGCAAAGAAGGCAACATGATGGAAGCCAGAAAGGTTTTTGATGGAATGCAAGAGGTGGGTGTCTTTCCTAGCACCATCACATATAATGCTTTGATGGATGGCTACGTTAAAGCACGGGAAATATATCAAGCAAATATGCTATATGAAGAAATGAAAAAGAAGGGTATAGTTCCAGATGCTATAACTCTTAACATTTTGGTGGCAGGTCACTATAAGTATGGTAGGGAAGAGGATGGCGACCGATTATTATGGGATCTAACAGTGACGGGACTTTTTCCAGATTGTTTATTCTCTGATGTATCAATTGCAGGATTGTGTTGGGCAGGAAGGTTGAACGAGGCTGTAACATTGTTGGATAATATGCTTGAGAAGGGGATACCTGTTAGTGTAATAGCTTTTAATTCCATTATTGCTGCTTACAGCAAAGAAGGGTTAGAAGAAAAAGCATTTGAAGTCTATAATATTATGGTTCAGTTTGGTCAGACTCCTTCAGCTTCCACGTGTGCTTCCCTTCTCATGGGTTTGGCAACGACAGGGAGGCTGCAAGAAGCGAGAAATTTAATGGCTAAGATGATTGCAATGTCCTTCCCTGTTAACAGAACTGCTTTCACTGTGCTTCTGGATGGGTATTTTAAGAAAGGGGATGTAATAGGAGCTAGAATATTGTGGGAAGAAATGGAAATGATGGGAATCGCTCCTGATTCTGTTGCTTTTTCTGCATTGATAGATGGGCTTGCTAAAGCAGGATCTGTTGAAGATGCGTATGGTGCCTTTTTCCAGATGACTAGGAAAGGGCTTGTGCCTAATAATTTTGTTTATAATTCGCTAATTACTGGTTTTTGTAATAGCGGAAAACTGAATGAAGCTCAGAAACTAGAGAGGGACATGAGGGATAGGGGTCTTCTCCCGGATGTCTTTACAATTAATACCATCATCAATGGTTTCTGCAAACAGGGAAGAATGAGATTAGCTGTTGACAGTTTTGTGGAAATGCAACGAAATGGTATACAACCTGATATTGTTACATATAACACCTTGATCAACGGATTCTGCAAAGCATTTGACATGGTCAATGCGGATAACTTTATGACAAGAATGTATGCCAGTGGATGGGAACCTGATATCACAACCTACAATATAAAGCTTCATGGTTTCTGTAGTAGTAGGAGGATAAATCGAGCAGTTATGATGTTGGATGAGCTTGTATCTGCTGGAGTGGTGCCAAATACCGTTACATATAACACTATGATGAATAGTGCTTGCAATGACATATTGGACCGTGCAATGATTTTGGCAGCAAAGTTGCTTAAGATGGCATTTATCCCAAACACCGTTACCGCTAACTTACTACTTTCTCACCTATGGAAGCAGGGACTACCTCAGCGGACGTTGATGTGGGGGCAGAAGTTGAGCGAAATTGGTTTTGAGTTTGATGAAATAACATATAAAATTTTGGACAATGCTTCTCATTATATACAAGAAAACACAGAATATTGTACAGAAACAACAGGAAAGAGTCTCTTTCTAGACTTCCTCATGTACATTACCTATGACTACATACGTAGAAGTAAGGCTTATAGTGATAAAAATGACAGCTCTTACGAACTAGTTGAGGATGGTCCTTGTGGGTCCTTCAAGTTAGTCAACAAGGCGTATAGCCAATTTGATGAAAGAGCAAGAAACTAAATGTTTACCATCATAGAAATTTTTCTGGATGAATTTACGAAAGGTGAAGGGGAGTTTCAGCAACGATAAAGTTGTCCGTGTGACCTATAGGTCACGGGTTCTAGCCGTGGAATCAGTCACTGATGCTTGCATCAGGGTAGGCTGCCTACATCACACCCCCTTGGGGTGCGGCCCTTCCCCGGACCTTGCGTGAATGCGGGATGCTTCGTGCACCGGGCTGCCCTTTTTCTAATTTACGAAAGGTAAACAAGCTTGGAAAGGACAACAGAAGAACCTACTGAAAGAACCTATGTGGCTTCAGTAAGTTTCTCAAATGCTAAAGAAGCTTGATCATTTAGAACTGATGATGCTTCCCAACACTGGAATCGGAAACCGCATCATGAAGCTGCAGTTTCTATGGCAATTTGCAAGAGTTGTGAATGATGATATGTACTTCTTACTTGGTATAGTTCGCCTTTTTAAGTTTTAATATTATTTTCATGTGTACTTTCTAAAGACTTTTGTTCTTCTGTCTTTAGTTTTGAATCAACTTTGGAGACCTTTCTTGAATTTGAACTTCTTTGTTGTTGCAGAACGTCTTTCTCCTGTTGAAATCATCAAATTGTTCTGGACTTGATAAGCTCGTATGTAGTTTCTCTTGTTGAATGAAAATAAATTGATGCTGGAATCTGGATAGGTTTTATGAGATGGCTTGAAAGATTTGTGAGATGAGATTTGTTTTCTTAATTCTCAAACAAAGAGGGTTTGGAATCAACTACTTTGACTTTGTGTGTCATTGTTAATCTAGAAAAATTCTTCCAAAAATCGACATCTAACCTTCTGGCTTCCATGATATCTGCCTCCTACTTTTTGCCAGTAATCCTTCTGAACTGCAATGAGCCCTCAATACTGTGCCTTTCTTGAAGTCTACTTTCCTTTCTTCACTTCCTGAAGTCTTGCTTTTCATTCAGAAATTTTACTCTCTCACCAAAAAAGCCAAGTTACCAGTGACAGCTTTCTTGCTTGTCTATACCAAATTTTCAACTGCTTTTGAACATCCTTAGTTTCCGGACTGCTTTTCTCAGTGCAACATTCATCATTAGCTCAATGATGATTCTGAAGCTATTTAAAGTTTATCAGGCTTTTACATTTTTAAGTTTGTTCACTCTCAGTTCTGTTGTCACATTTTCATGTGAATAATGAGGATACGAAAGTCTGATACGAGTGTGGATTCTTGCTTATAATTTATCCATTTGGTTGCCCCTTCTAAAAAAATTTATCCACTTGGTTTTACTTACCTATTTAGAAAACAATTATCCGCTCGGTCCTCCAAAATCTGATTCACTATTTATCCTAAAAGAAAAAGGATGTTAAACTGATTTACTGGTTTTTCTTTCAGTTTGGGGATCAAATTGCGCTTGAGGACAGCTTGAAAAAGATGTTGCGACTCCTCTATCACCCCTCTGTGTACCTGCGGGAGAAGAGACTTAGATGCTGCTCTATGTCCGGTATTTGCATGATGTTTTCTTGAGTTGATAATGAAGGTAATGGTGATGATATGTGTTGAGCTTAATGAAAGGAACGAAGATTCATATCGCCGACCCCAACTTGTTTGAGACTGAGGCGTAGTTGTCGTTCTTGTAGCTGGCGAGGGATGTGCCTAAAGATTTGATCCTGAAAAGAACTGCTATGGTGAATGATAAAAGATCAAGTGTCGGTTATAGGGCAACGTAATGACAGCCCTAAATTCCCAAGGATTTTTAATTTGTTATTGATAAGGTTTTTTTCCAGCTGCTGTCATTTTTACCATTTGAAGTTTCGCAGACCTGGTCCAAGTAGAGAGAAAATGGATATTAAGGATTCATATGCCGACCCCAACTAGCTAGGCATTTGTTGTTGCTGTTATTGATTTTTTGCAAACCTGCCAACGATGATGGACCTGGTAAGTTTATTTTGTGAACATATCTTCTTCTAGTATTACTCTGTATGCAACTTTCACATGAAGGTCTATGTCTTTTGCGAACAAATACAGGTCAAATGTTGTGTTTTCCTACTCTGAACAATGATTTACTCTCAGACTAGAAGTTTAGCGCCATCCTTGCGTTATAGTAGCAACTAATTTCCTTTTCTTTTCAGTTTTGTGAAAATTTTGTTTAGCTGTTGTCTTTATCCAATGTCTGTAGGTGATGAAGCTCACCGCTCCCCCCATCCCCAACCCTTTTTTCCCCGTTAGTAGAGAATGGCTGCACTATGTTGCTGAATTCTGCGATTGAATTTTCACATTTCAGGATGCACCAAAGGCTTTGTCCAAACTAGTGGTGATCAGTGCCATATAGTCCTTTGACACTGGAGACTGTTGGAATGGCTGCACAAGGTTCTTGTGTCGTATATATTATTAATCTAGAACATGTTCTGGATCTTTGAGAAGCTGGAAAGCTTATAGTCTAGTAGTATCAATCGGAGTCTCCACACAATAACTGCGGTTTCAATTCCCAATACCTCCCGGATCCTTCCTTGTGATAAAAGAAAAAAAAGAGAGTTGTGTAATTTGATAAACAAATATACAATGTTGAAGTAGTTTCTTTCCTTCCTTTTTTCATATTATTTTTTGGCAGGGGCGGGGTGGGTAGGAGGTGATCTTTCTCCGGACCCTGTGTGAATGCGGGATGCTTTGTACGCCGGGCTGTCCAGGGGCGGGGTGGGGGCATATCATTTTCTCTTTCAGTTGCTCTTAAGAGACGCAGTATTGTACATGTGCCGAACTTGTGTTCTTCCGATCCTCTGCTAACAATAAAAAAGAAATTTTCTTTCAGTGCGTTCAACGCTGTAAGTAGTCAACGTCTCCTATGGTTGGCAGGTCCATATTGAAACTATATTCGTCAACGATTCCATAAAACATGGTTTACAATCTAATCAATTCGCCATTATTTCTTTGTGACTTGACTCAAGTTTTCTTCTTCTTCTTTCCTCCCAGCCTTCCCTCCTTTTGTTCTTCGCTTTGTGCTTCTTTGTTGTTGTTGTTGGGGGGCGGCGGGCTACTGTGCGAAAGAAACAAAAATATATTCATGAAAAAAGAACCTTAAGTAATTTCTTCCATCTGCTTAAGCCAGCCTTGACGGATAAAATTACTTGATAACATAGTTAAATAAATAAATTACACAATAGCTGACAAAAAATGCACAAGAGAATAGTGCCTACAATTTTTTTTTCCTTAGAAGTCAGAATAGTGGCCTACAATGCAAATGCATAAGCTGATGGCATGCAAAAAACTCCAGGCTACTGATTGGTGCCTCTAGTCATAGCCACTAATGAATTGAAAAGTGCTTTAGTTACTCGTTAAACTGGTTGCTATGTTCTCTCGTTCAATAAACCAGAATTCTTAACAACTTGATATCTGATATGCAGGAGGGAAAAAAAACTGTTTTATATAACTTTAGCCTTCTGCATGATCATAAATCTTCTTCTGCTTATTCCACCAACATGTTCACTAAGTTTAGCCAAGTGAGCCATTCGCCTTTTCGCTGATTCTGAGGCTCCTGTCTGCTTTGGTTTTTCCTCTACAACAGGTTCATCTTCGACACTCTGGAAACTCGTGTCTGTGGAGCTATTTTCACCAGAAATCTGAATGTTCTGCTTCAGAGTTTCTACTACCTGACTCATCTTCGGTCGATCTTTTGCAGATTTTAACAAACAAATGTCAGCTAACTTTGCAATCTTTCGAGCTGCATTGAGCGAATACTGATTTTCCAGCCTTGGATCCATGATCATACCAAATTTCCGGCTATCAGCAGGGTAACGTTTGACCCACTCCAGAAGTTTATGTTCTGATTTCGGTCTGTTCCTTTCTAGGGACCGTCGACCAGTTAGGATCTCATACAATACAACACCAAAACTCCACACATCACTTTTAGCTGTGAGATGTCCTGTTTCTATGTAATCAGGTGCTGCATATCCCCATGTTCCGACAACCTGGTTACAAAAGCGTGTTATTTATGGTCATTTGCCACTGAGATATCTAGGTATATTACCATAAACTACTTCATTTTACACTGAAAATAAGAAAGAAAATCACTTGTGCTTTCTTTCTCATAAATGGTGTAAAAACCTACAAATCTATGCAGATCAATGTAACATACCGCTGTAGAGACGTGTGTGTGCATGCCAGTTGGGCCCTCTCTGGCAAGCCCGAAGTCTGAAAGCTTTGGCATGAAGTCATCATCCAAAAGTACATTTGATGACTTGAAATCACGATATATCACCTGTAAAATTGACAGAAAATGAACATGAAATTTGGATATATATACGATTGCTATAAAGCAGCAGAGCGATGAATCAGTATTTCCAAGCCTTCTAGTGGCTGATAAACAGAGACTCTACTGTTAAAAATCCTTTTAAACTGGAAAAAATGGGAAATGGATATGGAAAAATTCTCCTCAAAGAAATATTTCTTAGGTCATAAGGCTGACACCATTTNATTTGGATATATATATATATATATATATATATACACACACACACACAATTGCTATAAAGCAACAGAACGATGAATCCGTATTTCCAAGCCTTCTGGTGGCTGATAAACAGAGACTACTGTTAAAAATCCTTTTAAACTCAATACTCTTATCTCATAAATGGCCATGTAATTCTCAACTCAATACTCTATCTCAAACTCTTATTAAAATTTCACAGAAGGCTAATCAGGTAATATCTGGATGCAATCTGCATTACCTGACATTATTTCTCTCAAATTTATTCTAAATTTAAAGACAGTGTGATTTTGATTTTTTTCTTTTTACAGATAAACATCATAAATAGAACTCATCCATACTCATCATATGTTTCAGTTTTCCTTGTTATTGCTTGACGCAAAATTGCTAATAGTATCAACAGGGTTGTATATTGAGGAAAAATCTGGCTAAAAGTTTATACTCATGTAATTTTATAACTCAAAATTAGGAAGAAAACCACAGAAGCTATTCAAAAGAAATACCTGAACTTCCAATTCTTCATGCAAATAAGTCAGTCCCTCAGCTGCTCCAAGAGCTATTTGAAGTCTTCTTTTCCAAGAAAGAACAGGAAAGGCGGTATTGAAGAGATGATCTTCTAGGCTTCTGTTTGACATGAATTCATACACAAGTAGCCTCTGAATACCTCTTTCCCCATCAACGGCACAATATCCAAATAGTTTGACGAGATTTGGGTGATCTACCACTCCCAGAAACTGCACTTCTGCTACCCATTGTTTATGACCCTACATAACAATCAGAGGATCAACACAATACCACAGCTTATAATAAGATACAACTTAAATTGTTTAGCTTCTAAAACAAAAGACTCCAGATTTCAGTTTGCAAGCACACAATAATTATCTAGAGAAGCGAGATGTGATAACCATAACTTGCTGCAAAGTAAATGCTGAAAATTAGATCTTTCAACCAATGGCAAAAAAACTGGAATAAAATCAGATCATTCGAAACTGCTTGCCATATAGAAATGATACACATTTCGGCAGAAATCGAATGACAATTTGAACCCCTGCATATCACAGTAGATCAAATTGCCAAAGAAAGCTAAAAATGACTTGGAAATAGTATTGAAAGCACAGTGCAGGGAGAAATCAAAAATGTGAATGGAACAAAGTTGTCTATGAATCCTCTCTTCCACAACCAAGATACATACGTATAACACGTACATTCTCCTTGAATAGTCGCATGAGGATGTGGAAGCAGCTACTGATTTCAAGGGCATTACTCTTTTTAGTGAAGATCAAAGATTAAACATCACCTTTCACCATACAAAGAGGCCAAATTGTTATAATGTAAGTAGCATACTCCTTCAGTAACATAGCAACAAAAAACAGAAAAGACAACTTAAAATTACACTACTTACATAGACCTTTAAAGACAACAAAGAATGATGCATATCATTAATGCTTCATTACCAGACAAGGCTGCTATAAACAATTCCACATATAGCAACAATTTCACAGATAAGGCCATACTCAAGCCACTAAAACACATATGTGGGCATTTAATAATTTGCAACATTAGTCACTAAATTTTGGTTACCAGCCAAACTTAACACAAATTCAATGAACACATACACACAAAAAAAGGTTACCTGATAACCATCTCTATTAAGCTTCTTAATGGCAACAACAGTTGATTCACCCTTTCCATCAGCAGGCTTAATAGTACCCTTATATACACATCCAAAACCTCCTTCTCCAATCTTAAGTAACCTATTAAAATTATTAGTTGCTTGTTTAAGCTCAGAGAATGTAAAAACCCTCAAGTTCTGAGCTTTCCCTTCATACAAATCAGAGAAGCTACGAGGAGAAGAAGTTGAACATGAAGACTTAGTCACCCTTTCTGCACCACCACCTGATATATCTGATTTGCTCAGATCTTGAAGTACAACTGGTGCTGATTTTCTTTCCCTATTTCTATTTCTATCCTTAAAGTAAAAGAAACACTTCATTTTCCACACTTTACAAATTGTTTACAGAACTTTCAAGATTCAATTTTTAACTCCCAGAGCTAAGGAACAGCCATTGAATTCCTACATAAAATCATAAGATCAAAAGTAAGAGATTTTAACTACATCAAGAACAGCTTTATAGCCAAAATTCAAAGTACATAAAGTAAAAACACATGATAAATGGATATAAAACAAGGAAAAAATTATTACCCAGATGGGAAAATAGCAAGAAAATGGTAGTGCACAATCAAAAAAACACTAGTATGTGACAGTTTTACTCTTTTGGTTATGTATTTCTAAAAGTTGGACCCGTGATTTTGTTCAACCGCTTGGACTCTTTTTATCACAAGAAAAGTACTAGTATCAGCTATCCAAGTTGGTGGAAGAAGAGAAGAAATTAAGCTTCTACCATATATTATAGAGGGTCCAAACTCGCTTTTGAATTTTGTTCAGAGTCAGAGTTTATTCAAAATCTTGGTTCTTCAACTCCTTTTGGATTTGGTAACCACTCTTTCTTAGACCAAAAACTCCCCAAAAACTCCCTCTTTTTCTTTGGACGCTTCCTCTCCTCTCTCTTCAAGAGGGGGGTGGGGGAAATAGATATCTTTTGTCAGATTTTGACAACTATGTTTCTATCTATATATATATAGAGAGAGAGAGAGTTCTGTCTTTTTCGTTTCTCTTGTTTAATCTTTCTATTTATTTATTTTCAATCAGAGGCATAAGGGTGCTGGTATAGGGGTTACCTAGTACATAATGGTCAAACTTATCTTTTGTTATTGTTCAGAAGACTACGACCTTTTGAAGTTTTTGTTACAAATGGGGTGTAAAAGTTCGGTGTGTTAGGCTCTTGATTGGTTTTTCCTCACTAAATAGTTTTCTTTATAATTGTGGCGTTTCACTTACTTGCATATACCTCAATTAATGTAACGGAGTATTTGTTATCTTCTACAAGTACAAATATTGAATAAATTTTTCAGTTAAAACTTGAATAATAAAAAAAAAGTAACCTAATAATATTTTTATCTCCACTTTTCTGACCACTAAGCTACATCTCAGCACTTCCTCAATCACTAATTTGATTAGCAATGTTGTTGTCATATGGTGGAATTGAACTTAGATTTCGAAAATACAATGTAAATGTTTTTAGATAATGGTTAAATGGAAAACATTTATGTTGTATTTCAGACTTACTACGAAATCTATTGTAGATTAAGCAAATTAAATAAGAGAATACAACAGAAGTTAGACACATGAACGCTCAATCAAATGATAAGCAACCTTTCTTATTATGGCTTTTCTGTAACAGCTCTTCTATGAAGAAAAATATATTCAAATGTAAACCAAATAAAGTTTCCTTTTTTGCATTCTTTCTTTAGAGATTTAGTTGGCGTCTGGACATGAGAATTGTAAAATTCCGAAAAAAAATGATTTTTTTAAAAAAGTAAAAATAATATTTGAAAATTAGAGTTGTTTTTGGACATGAATATAATTTTGAGTTGTATTTTGAATTTTTGTGAGTGATCTGAACTGAAAATTTTAAAATAACTTTTTGGAGTTTTTTAAATTTTCGAAAAATTCGGAAGTTCATCTTTAAGTGAAAATTGAAAATTTCATGGCAAAACATTGATTATGAAAAAAAATAAATTTTTATGGGCCCTTATACATAAAAAGCTACTTATATTCATTTTGTTTTCTCTCCCCCNCTCCGCTATAGATAATCTTCCTGAAGAAGATTATCCATTTAGTACTCCGTTGAAATTTATCTACAAGCAGCTGATGCAGGCAGGTTGCAAGCAATTCAATAAAATGATTTGCAACAGCTTCTTATTAAACAGACAGGTTGCAAGCAGTTCACGCAGACAACTTATCATACAGACAGCTTACAAGCAGCTAAAGAAAAGCCTTGCAGCTGCTTCCTTTCTTCTATAAATAGAGGAGTTTTCAGTTCATTATGAACATAAGTTTGAAGTTTGAATAATATATCAGTTTCTCTCTATACTTGTCTTTACTTTACAGTCTTTATTTTATAACACGTTATCAGCATGAGACTTTGCCATCTCGAGCAAATACTTTGAAAGTATCAGAGGTACGATCTTTCTTTTTCTAAATAATATCAAATCTTTCTAAACTTGAATTTGTAACCCTGGATATATCGGGCAAAATATGTCTTGGGTGTTTGATGCCAAAATTCATCTTGATGCGATGGGTCTGGCAGACACCATCAAGGACAAAAATCAGGCATCAGACCAAGACCGTGCCAAAGCAATGATATTTCTACGCCATCACCTTGATGAGGGCCTGAAAATGGAATGTCTTACTGTTAAAGATCCAGTCATACTGTGGAATAATTTGAAAGATAGATATGATCACCTGAAGATGGTCGTTCTTTCACAAGCACGGTATGATTGGACTCATTTAAGGCTACAAGATTTTAAATCTATCAGTGAGTATAACTCTGCTATGTTCAGAATTATTTCCCAATTAAAATTATGTGGTGATAATATTACTGATCATGATATGTTGGAGAAAACTTTCACCACTTTTCATGCCTCGAATATGCTCCTGCAGCAGCAATATTGAGAGATGGGATTCAAAAAGTATTATGAACTTATCTCACATCTTCTTGTAGCCGATCAACATAATGGGTTATTAATGAAAAATCATGAAAGCCGACCAACTGGTTCTTGTCCATTCCCTGAAGTGAATGAGACGAACTTCCACCAAGCTAAGCGTGGAAGAGGTCGTGGCCCCAGTCGTGGTCATGGCCGTGGTCGGGGAAGAAACTCTAATCATGGTAATAATAATGCACCAAAGAACCCTCCTCACCACCAGTAGTGGAAAATGAAGGAACAAAAGCATGAAGCGGTGCAAACAGGAAAGCTAGAAAATGCATGCTATAGATGTGGAGGAAAAAGGCACTGGTCACGTACCTGTTGTAAGGCCCCGTAAAATTTTTGCAAAAGAAAATAATGTTTCGTGGTGCCGAATTGATTTTACGTGTTGAGTATTATAGAAACCGCGACTCAGAGTTTTTGGGTTGAACAATGCACCAGAAAGTAAAGGAAAATATTTGGCGAAAAAGTACATTTCTGCGGTCCACTATGCGACTGCAGAATCACTCTGCGGACCGCATAATGGCCGCAGAGTGAGGCAGTTAATTGGGTCAGTTGGAAGCAATTATGCGGTCGACTATGCGACCGCATAACTGTTATGCGGTGTACTATGCGATCGCAGAATAGTTATGCGGACCGCATAGTGACCGCAGACTCAGGCAGATTTTTAGTCATTTTGGACACCAATTATACGACCGTTATGCGGTCGCATACTGTTCCGGAGCTTCATTTTTGGGTTTTTAAAATCCGACCCTACTTCGTTAAATACATGTTTTGGGTCATTTTTGAGATATAATCTGACATTTTAGAGTAAGAGAGAGTGCCCTAGAGTGAGAATGTGTTCTTCAATAATTGTTCTTCAATTCTTGCTCAAGTTTTAGAATATTAAGAAGGCAAGCTCACTAGGTCTTCATCCTAGAGGTAAGATTCTACACCCTAAACCCTAATTTCGAAGTCATCTGAAAATGGGTAATTAGCAAGATAATTTTTGGGCATGAGAGTTGATTATTTTACATGTATGTGATATCAAGGGGTGTAGGAAGATTGTTGAACTAAGCATGGTAAAGATTGAGTTGTGGGATGATGGAATCCTCCATAAAAGGACCTTGAAACCTTGTGCACACCTAGTGTTTGATAAAATGCTCAAATGAGCTAGAACCATGGTCATCTTCCTAATTTTGATTCAATTTGTTATATTTCTAAAATAGATTGAAGTTGCTAAGAATTCCGGAATGTTTTAGAGTTTAAGGAAGCTCAATTGATGTATGTTGGCTAAACTCTTCTCTTAGAATTGAATCCCACGATATTCATGTAAATTATGTAAGTCCCGAGTGATTCATTATGAAATTAGCTATTCCGAGTAAGATTGGGTTGAAAGATATATGTTCAACAAGNTTGGCTAAACTCTTCTCTTAGAATTGAATCCCACGATATTCATGTAAATTATGTAAGTCCTGAGTGATTCATTATGAAATTAGCTATTCCGAGTAAGATTGGGTTGGAAGATATATGTTCAACAAGCATCCCAAATGCTCTATTCATGTTATGTTACCAATTGAGGATGTGTTAAAATATAGGTTGTGCATTAATAATATTTTGACTTTAAGTCAAGTTCAAATGAAGGCTATTATGGCAAATTTTGTGAAATATCTCTATGTACATTAGACTCTAAATTGCTCACATGTGTACTACACACTCTGATTTGAATTGTGTTTGTTGTTGACGATGAGGATGATATTTGAAATTGATAAGGTGAGCCTGAAATACTGAATATGGCCAACGCACCAAGAATGATCTTATAATTATGGCCACTAGTGCCAATGAAATGAAAAGATGTGAAATTATTATGAAATGCGATGATTGATATAAAAAGGTTGATGTCTCAAATAAGACAGCCTAGTTGATCGGGTCGTGATCGGACACCCTGCCGCACACATGGTGGTGATTGTGCTGAAAATTGTAATTGAAATTGTGATTGTGGTCGATGTCCCTAATGGATAGCCTAGCCAGTCGGGTCGTGATCGGACTCCGTGTTAAAGATAGTGGTATTGATATTGAGAGTAATTGTGGTTGATGTCTCTAATGAGATAGCCTAGCCGATCAGGCCATGATCGGACTCCGTACTGAGAATACGGTGGTACTGGTATTGTGGACAATGGTATATCGACACTAAAAATCTCCTAATGTGAAATATGAAAATTAATTTGAACATTGTCTTGATCCTAAATTGAGGTTTGATGTTAATTAAGGCTTTCATTGATATTATGATAATCTTGTTTGTATTATTTGTTATTCTATTGAGAGAGTGTTTAGTTATACATACTAGTGCTATTCGACAGTACTAACGTCCCTTTTTGCCGGGGGCGCTGTATCTTTTAATGGATGCAGGTGGTTCCACAGTAGGAGATATTGGTCAGTGATAGTAGTGCACCTTCTTCCCAGCTGACTTGGTGAGCCCCACTTC